GGGTGAGTAATTAATGACAGGATTTTCATTTTTGGGTGAACTATCCCTTTAAGTAAACTCTACTGTCTCACCTCGCCGACGTCGTATATGTAGATCTGTCCCTCTGAGTCACCCACGGCGATCTCTCTGCCCGACTGAGACCAGCGCAGCCTGTTCAGAGCGGGACTGCCATCCACAGACACACTGGCAGTGGGCACCTGCACACACACACACACACACAGATTCAATTTATTTTCTCCATCTGATCATAAAGACTGAGTGTCTGTGATGTTGCAAGCGATGAAATCTGATCCTGACACAAAATGACCAGCTAACATTAATTGACTAATCATATCAGCAGCATATGTGAAAGTGTGAATGAGTACTAGTCAGGTGAAATCACTATCATAGTAATTAGATTGTAAGAGCAGACTGATTGCTATAAAAGGAGAGAAGAAGCGCTCCCAATCATTGTGTTCTTGTTAGCAATGGCTACCTCCAAAGAAACACGTGCAGCCATCATCGCTTTGCATCAAAATGGCCTCACATGCAAGGAAATTGCTACAATTTTGATGTAATTGTTTTAAATATATTGCTCAACCCTGAAAAAAAAAGTATAAATTCTGGCTCTCAGTGTAGAACTGCTGGATCAAAGTTTGATTATGAGTTCAGACCATTATTGTTAATACTAAATGTGTCACTGAATATGTGCATCATTAATTCAATAATATTTCATGTTTCACCTCTGTGTCATTGTTGAGGTTCCACAGGTCGATGCGTCCGAGTCCGTCCACACAGGCGAAGAGAGCGGGATGAACCGGAGACCACATAACATCATAAACATAATCAGAGTTGTCCTCAAACGAGTACAGCGGCTTGTTACTCTACAGCAGAGAGAGAAACACAGTCAGCCGAGAGACTCATGAATGACAGCGTTATGGAATAAGTGTTTATGAATGCTGTGCTACCTTGGTGCTCCAGAGTTTAACAGTCCAATCAAATGAGGCGGTCAGGAAGAGATGAGAGAAATCTACGGGTCCTGCCGCTGTGTGACAGTGAATGCCTGTGATTGGACCATGATGCCCCTCAAACATCTCACTGATACCTGCCCGACTGCTCACACACACACACACACACACAAACACACAGACACAGACACACACACAGAAACACAGACACACACACACACACACACACACACACACACACACACACACACACACACACACACACACACACAC